AAGAATGCTGAATTAATCTGGTTTACTGACAGATCCTACTTAAAGGATGAAACCAGTCACTACTGAGCCAATGATGCTATAATATCCTTAACTGAAACCACTGAGGCTAAACCCATACCAGAGGCCACTTCTGCTCGGCAGGCAGAACCCTCTGGCACTAACTAGAGCCTATTTTCTAGGTAAAGATAAGGCTGCTAACATCTATACCAGTAGGAGATGGCCTCTGGGGTTACTCATGTTTTTGGTATGCTCTGGAAATAAAGGAGGGTTCTTGACTTCTGAACAGAAAATAAAAAATTGTTCTTATGTATTAGATCTTCTAAATGCTATCCAACTGCCCAAATCTTTGGTGGTCATTAAAATTCCAGGACACTCTATGGCAAACATGGAGAAAAGCAAAAGAAATCATTTGGCTGATGCAGCTACTAACCCAGCTGCTTTAAGTCAGTCCCTACCTTATTACTTACCACCTGCAACTTCCATGTCTCCTGAATTTGCTATCAAAAAGATAAAATAACAGAAGCCCCACAGTTAACTGGCAAACTAGAAAGAAATAGGCAGAACAAGGTTGTAAATTTGACCCCAGATGAAATCTATGGATAGGTCCTCACAATCAGCTCATTCTCCCTGATTGCCTACAGAGATAGGTCCTGTAATATATACATGATTTGACACATTAGAAAACTGATTAGGGGTAAACAATACTACTAGAAGTCATCACCAAAAATTATCAGGGGTGCCTGCGTGGCTCAGTAGGTTAAGCATCCCTTCGGCTCAGGTCATGATCCCAGGGTCCTGGGATTGAGGCACATGTCTGGCTCTCTGCTCAGCGGGGAGCCGCTTCTCCCTCTCTCTCTGCCTGCCACACACACTCTGTGTGTCAAATAAATAAATAAATAAAATCTTTAAAAAAAATTACCTCACAGGTATACCTGAGTTGTCAGATTTGCCCAAAGCATAACCCAGAAAGCTTATTCATACTTATATGGGATATTTTCCTTTGCCTTCCGGACCTTTCATGGTATAGCAAATGGACTTCAGCCAGTTGCCTCCCTCCCAAGGATATAAGTAATGATTTGTATGTTTTCTCACCAGGCTGAGTCATTTCCATGTTGGAGAGCCACCACTGCAGCCATAAGCTAGACATTGTTAGAAAAGACTATTCCTGCCTGGGGAGTCCCCTCTGAACTTCATAGTGATTGGGGATCTCATTTTACTGGCCTAACCCACTGATAAAGTCACCCTCCATCCCTGTTCTAAATTTCATCAAGAATTACCTGCCACTTATACTTGGCTCGTAAAAACACATGGGAGCCCAACTGGTTTTCCAATAGACATTTCCGGCTGTAAGACCCTCCTTTGCAAAAGAGTCAACTAAGCTTTGATATCAAAAGAAGCAGTTATCTGGCTGCTTGAACAAAATAGACCCCTGGTTTTCTCCTGTCTTACCCTCCATACCTACAGATGAGTCTGTAAATAATCAGACTTGAAAAGAAGTATTTTGCGCTCCCACAGGATATATTTTTGTCCATGCCTACAAGGGGCAACCTTGGACATCTGACTGCCTAGATGATGTAGTCTTTGAATGTTGGTGAGGTCTGGAGCCAATGGCCAGGAAAGAATTCTTGAGATGTCTTTGGTGCAAAAAAAGGTGATTTTATGAAAGCACGGGGACAGGATCCATGGGCAGAAAGATCTACTGCCCCGGGGTTCTGAGGAGTGGCTGATTATATATTTGGCAGTTGGGGGAGGTAAGGAAAAAGGGAGGTGTCCAAAAGGACTTTGATCTGCTAAAGAAGACTCTCAGGATGCCACAGGCCTTGCTACTGTCAAGCTAGGGTTGTTTTTCCTTCTAGTAAGGCATCAACCTTAAGACAGTTGGGAGCTTCCTGGAGGAACGTCATACTTTGCCCTTCTCAGGTCCTTGTCAGTGGGCTGCAGGTCACGAAGAAATTTAGTTTACTTTCCCTTCTGCCTCAGCTTCTACATCACTCAAGGAAGGGAGGGTGATGTTAGGGCTCCAGGAAATTGAGTCTATGGGTCTCTGGAAGTTAGGCTATTGATAAGAATGCTTTTATCTTGTAAATCGCTAAGACATTGGTACACTGATGGAGACTCATGTCTTGCAGGACTGTATTCTCTATTAGTTAGCCATTTGTTTTTCCCTTTCCTTAGTTTTAGGGCAGCCAGGAGTGCCTGAGGAACATCACACAGATCCCACCTGGGGGCGGGGGGTGTGCATTGTGGGGTGTCAACATGTGCTTTGTCCTCAGCTTGCCTTCTGCTCCCTCATCATAGATAGTCAGAGAATGACAGGACAGTGTCTCCTAGAATATGCAGTTTCTCCCTTCACTGTATTTCAATTGGTCACAGGGATCTCTCCTGCCCTAAAGACACCATAGAAACAAGAGAGCTCAGGGCGCCTGGGTGGTTCCGTCTGTTAAGCGTCTGCCTTCGGCTCAGGTCATGATTCCTAGCTCCCAGGATCCAGCCCCGCATCGGGCTCCGTGCTCAGCAGGGAGCCTGGTTCTCCCCCTCCCTCTGCCTGCCTGCCTGTCTGCCTACTTGTGATCTCTCTCTCTCTCTCTGTCAAATAAATAAATAAAATCTTTAAAAAAGAAAAAAAAAAAAAGAAACAAGAGAGCTCTATCCATTATAAATGACCACCCAGACGATGACTCCTCCAAATCAGAAGACAATCGCTATAGACATTCTCAGGACTGTGACCTCCCACCGGATACAATCCTAATGAAGGAATGGATCTCCTTGGAACTTTTTTCTGGCAGGATCTGTTGCAAATGAGGTCATGATATGGAATCCGTCCTGGACTGTTAATAGAATAGCCAGATCCACTGCTAGGGCCATTAAAGCGCAAAGGTCTCTAGATTCCCTTGCTTGAGTTGTACTAGACAACAGAAGAGCTTTGGATTACTTGGGACTGCTCAAGGAGTCTGTGCCATCCCTAAGACTTCCTGCTGCACCTCACAAACAGGCTCAGTTGAAAACCACCAAAATACTTATATTGCCATCGTTAAAAGGAGTTTCTTTCAGCCCTCTAAGTCGGTTTAATTTTAAGTTTTCAGACCTTTTCAATGGACTCCCCATAGGACTTGAAGCCCTTCTAAGATCTGGATTACAAATAATCATATTTATTATTGTACTTACGTGCTCCTTTTTAATTATAATTAAATTACTGATGCTTTGTATATCTCGCTGTTGTTTGGCCATCCAAGATGTCAAAATTATGGTCACACAAAGGCTTAAAATGATCAACCACAGCTATCCATTGGCAATCCCTGAAGACAAGTCAACTCCATGGGCTTTTAAGATGAAGACAATGTCTAAGACTTGCTTCCTGAAAACCTCTTTGTTGCTGCGACTATATGCTCTCCCTGACATTCATCATCTATAACATTTCACTTTCCCTCCTCTGTGGGACATGACCTTTTAGGAATGAACCTTCTGAGCTAGGTGGACAACAGATGATCCTATGGTTGATCATCAATGCTTTCCAAGGAAAGATCTTGGTCAAAAGGGAAAAATACGGGGCGCCTGGGTGGCTCAGTTGGTTAAGCGACTGCCTTCGGCTCAGGTCATGATCCCGGAGTCCCAGGATCGAGTCCCACATCAGGCTCCCTGCTCGGCAGGGAGTCTGCTTCTCCCTCTAACCCTACCCCCTCTTGCACTCTCTCTCTCAAATAAATAAATTTAAAAAATCTTAAAAAGGGGAAAATATGAAGCGAAAAATCTGAAATGGAATCATTCCTGTCAGGAAAAATGGAGCCAGGAAGCTATTAAGGAAGTGGGGCTTATGTAGTGCACCTCCGAACAGAGCATAAACTTTATAGTTCATTGCCAAACTGCAACATCTTGGCTTCTTGCAGTCC